TCAGATCCAAGATTGACTTGGTTCCTGGGCTTAAAGCCAGACTATGCTTAGACAGGAAAAACAATGACTGGAAGGAAGTGCCAAAATGAAAAATCTGTAGCAAGTCTGTGTGATTTGCTTTTGTTTTTGTTTTTATCTATGAAGTTTGTCCTGGGAACCCACACAGAAATGTGTGAGTGTGATAATAGTATTCCTCCAGAGTTCCAGCAGCCTAGTGAAGACCCTCTTCTGGGCTTTGGATGTCTCCCTCCAAGCCCCTTTAGAAAGTTAATTATCTTTGTAACAGTGTTGAGGGGGTGAAGTTTTAATGGAGGTAGTCAGGTCACCAAGGTGCCACCTTAGTAAATGGATTAATGTTGTTATTTCAGAAGTAGGTTGGTTGTAACAGGAACAGAGGGTGGCTGGGTGAAAAACGGATGAGCTGGACCAGTTTTCTTCTTCTCCTCTGCCTTACCTGTTCACTTCCTTTTTTTTTTAACCACTTCTTGTTGTATGGCCAATGGCCAATCTCCAGAGAAGTAAGAGGCAAATTCCTTCAACCTATTGCTGGACCCTGAAGTCCAACTACCAGGAGGAGTCGCCCCAAGAGACCATCTCTCACACCACAGTTGATATAAAAGCATGAGGATTTTATTAATTCTGTTGTGACAGGGTCTTTCAGCATTCAGGAAGCCAGAAAGACCCCGAATGGCTGGTACAGGCTATTTTTAAAGCAAAAAGCCACAGAAAAAAGGGAGGTATGGGAGTTGTTCTTTAACTATTATGATTGGCTTATTTAAAGGTCTATTACCAATAATTGGTTGGAGAGTAGTTGCCTGATCAGATGAGGTAAGAGGAAACATTTGAGGGTTACTTTGCCCTTTTCCCAGGGAATGAGTCAAAACATCTGTGGGTTATCTTTTCTCAGTTTTAGGAATGGAGATCTATTTGGACAACACTCACAAGGACTCAGGGAGATGGAAAGTTCCCAACATTTCAGTACATGCATGTGTAGTTGTTAGGTCCTTGGTTCCCAGGGGAGGGGGGAGCACTACCTCAGGAATGGCCTCAGAGTTGTCAGAAATGGCTTTAGAGTTATTTTAGAGTTCTACACTATAAGTTACTCAGTCTGTGATATTCTGCTATAGCAACAGAAACAAGACTAGAGGATTCTCTTATTTATTTTATCATTGCAACACCAAATGCTTCAACTCTGAAATTACCAGGAATGCCCAACACCATGTAAAGAACTGAAATTCAGATTGAGCATAAAGGTGTATGAAGGGTCTAGCTGGTCTAGACATTCTCTTTCCTTACTGGATTTCAAAGTAGAAGAAGACTCTAGTAAGAAGGGAATCCCAATACAGACTGATGAAGAAGCTTGGCTTTGTTGCTGTGGGACAACGGTTTTACCCTGTAAAGATTTGTTTCTTGTACTTGTTTAATAAAATGCTGATATGCTGATTGGCGAGTAGCCAGGCAGAAAGTATAGGTGGGGCAATTAGGCAGGAAGTAGAGGTAGGGCAATGAGAATTCTTAGAAGAGGGAAGTTTCAGTCCATAGTCATGATCCAGCCACAGAAGCAAGATGTGACTGCCTAGCTAAAAAAGTAAAAAAGCCACTACCAAGCCATGTGGCTAACATAGACAAGAAATATGGACTAATATAAAGTTATAAAAATTAGTTAATAAGAAGAGACTGAGATACTAGGCCAATCAGTTTATGATTAACAGAGACCTCTGTGTGTTTATTTGGGACTAAATGGCTGTGGGAGGCATGACAAACATAGAGGGACCAGGTGAGACAAAAATCTCAGTCCACACTTTGTCATCAAGAAGATCCCAGATCAATATATTATAGCCATAGGTCATGGTCCACATTAGAGTTTCCTGAAATAATCTGTGTGGGTTATATCAGTCTTTAAACATAATGGAATAACACATGATAGACTAGACTTGCTTGTTAATGATTAAATCACAATGCCTTGTGTATTGTTCACTTAAGTATTGCTTTGTGCAACTTTTGTGTTTTATACACATGATCAAATGTATAAACTAATATCTCGAGGTAGAAGAAGAAGGAGGAGGAGGAGGAAGAGGTGGAAGAGGAGGATGAGGAGAAGGAGAAGGAGAAGGAGGAGAAGGAGGAGGAGGAGGAGGAGGAGGAGAAGAAGAAGAAGAAGAAGAAGAAGAAGAAGAAGAAGAAGAAGAAG